AACTGTGTTATTAACTCTGGATCGACCAAGCGTATACCGTCCAATTGATTGCCCAAAGTAATCCAATTCGGTTGCACGTTGTGTGGTCGGCCAAAAAGTTCTATTTTACGTGTGCCTGGACTAAGACGTTCAATGATGCCGTATATTTCATCGGGTTTATGTGAGGTGGCGCGCACTTCTGCAACAATAACATCGCAATCGAGACCGCGATTGAGATTTTTCGGATTACCTTTCATGCCAACCAGACAATGTTCTTTGCCATGATTCAACCAATGGCCTGTACGACCTGTGCGTATGATGCGTTGCAATTGATTTGTTTTTACCCAAATGAGCTCGTCAACGCGTTCATAACTTTGTTTCATAGGGAAATGGAGAGCAAATATATGTAAATAGCATATTCACAGTAAAATAAATATTACCTACCCCCAGAGCTTTAGGCACTCCCGTCCTAATTCCATAGCGCGACCAGTTACCCACAAGAAAATAAGTCCATCATCTTGCAACGCTGGTACGCCTAACTGCCGCATCTCATCATCGGACATTGTGCCTTTAATCAAACATATTAATTTATCAAATACGTAGGGCAAACATTTTGGAAATTTAAATTTCCTTAACTCACCATAAGGCAATTCCATGTGTATATCCCACGGTGGATCGGCCATAACAACGGCGAATTTGCCGAGTACTGTCATGTCTAGATAACGCAAATCACATTGTATCCACTGCGGGGGATAGAGTGTTACGCTGGGATCAATGCTTCGTTTGATGCAAAGTTTAGTCTTAACATCGACTGGCTTGTTAGTGTTTATATTCGGTATCGTGTCGACTTCGTAATGCACATACCTACAAAAACCGACAAAAATGCATTCGTTTAATTTGACTTAATTCTCAAACAGCGCCCATACTTGCATGTCGCCATGTGAAAACACGTATTTAAAAAACTGCAGTCGCCGAGTGATTCGTCGGTGTGCGATTGGATGATTTTCTTAAAATGCAATTTTGTGCAAGTATCTAATGTCTCTAAAAGTTCATCCGACGATTGTTCCGAATCAACTTCGCCGTCCTTTAAGTTATCCGATACAATTTCGCCATCTTCCGCATCCGATTCTGCAGCCTTGGCATCGTTTTTCTCTTCCTTCGCGCTGGTGTTGCCATTACTATCCGATGTTGCATTTGCATCGTCCATATTTGTTGTTTCCTCGTTATTTTTTTGGACTCCTTCCAAATCGAGAATCGCTTTCCTGGCATTCTCTAATTTGTGATCCCGCTTTTTTTTGGCTGCCATTTCCGCAGTGGCTTGTTGCGCTTTAAGGCACTCCACTTTTGTGCCATGTGGACAAAATTCCATAACCTGCGCCCCACCATGTGATTTGAATTTTTCTGCAACAGAGCGTTCCTTGGCAGTGGGCTTGGTTAATAATTCGAGTATTTCCTCGCCAACTTGTTTGCTTTGCTTCTCGCGCGTTGATGGCATCGAGAGGAGGGACTAAGGTGTCAGTGTATAGAAATTAGTTAATATATGTATATATATAAATAGAGATGCTTAGTTCGCAGACCATTATATCATCAGATGCATCCGAACCGCCGATAGTCGTCTCTTTTCGCGCATTCGGTGCTGCATTAGCTTCCGCCTTCACCATCTTATTAAGATTACAGTCCTCATTCTCGGCATCATCCGTTTCGACTAGAACGTTTGTGATTTCAGTAGCTATCGTAAAACGTATACAAATTCTATAAATATGTACCTACATTTGCGTTTCAGCTCTTCCTTGATACCCACATAACTGTCATTTATCAGTTCTTTATATAGACCTAACACGATGTTAGTTTCTACAGAAATCACTTCGCAGCCCACATCCTTTCCGATGGTAACACTTTTGATATTGACTGCTCCTTGCTCGGCCAATTTGTTTAGGGTGTAATTAATTACTTGCTGTGCAGGTGCTTTATCCAAAAATGTAGCCACTTTTTCCAACAATTGTGTAGATATTATTGGAAGCACAAGTGTGCTGGAGGAGAGTGCCTGCAAAACCGCTTTCTCTGCTTCGGCATCCGTCTCTGGCGAACAATGGTTACAGGTAAACTACTTTGTTAAGCTATGAATGGCACGCTACTGTTCGAAACATACCTAATTCTAATGGTGGATTCGGTGAATCCTTGGCTGTATCAACAACGTTATTTGGCGACGAAGACAGCAAACCGGCACGCTCTTTCTTCCGTTTCTCCAACTTTTCTCGCAGTGTATTACGTTTGGTCTTTACTGCTTTTATTTCATCCCAAGCATCAGCCATCGTATAACAGGAATGCAACAGAACCCTGTTTTCTAGGCGCCTAATAGCAACAAATCAATGAATCGACAAAAATATTTAATCTGGTGTAAAAATAAAACAACTTTTGCTATTCAGATGCTTCTTCTGGGAATGCGAATATTCACGGTGCTCAGAATACGAGCCGGGCTGTGTATGTAGACACAAGAAGAAGAAGCATAAAAACAAAAAAAATTACTGACCGACGAACAAAAACAAAAACAAAAACAACTAAAAATTACTTAATTGGTGGAAAATTTGATAAACTCCATAATAAAATGTTTGGTTGCAATCCAAAGGATTACGATTTGAAAGTGGAACTGTCACGCGCCTTCAATGGCATTGGCACAGTTTACTTGGCCCAATACTTGCCCAACGGGCAGCATATCGCCGTAAAAAAGTATCGCATGGATAAGGCCAGCAAAGAAGAAAGCATCCTGGCTGGCGATGAACTACTTATCATGCGTCAGTTCCATCATCCCAACATACATACTTTCCATACATCGTTTGTATATGGAAACGAACTCTTCCAGGTAGCGCCATTAATGTGCTTTGGTAGCTGTAAGGACACAATCGCCAACTGCTTTCGTGCAGGTGAGGGAATGATGATAATTTAATAATACATTATTATTTCATATTTTAATTTTGAATGTCACACCAGGATTTCCCGAAATATTTGTTGCTCTTATAATGCGTGATGTTCTCACTGGTCTCGAGTATCTGCATCGACGTGGTTACATTCATCGCTCCATTCGAGCGAGCCATATATTGCTTAATCAAACGAAAGCTGTGTTGTGTGGCTTTCGTGAGTGCACCAGCATTGTAGCGCATGGTGAACGTATCGGCGCATTACATAAGCTGGCTCCATGCAGTGCACGTAGTCTTAATTGGTTAGCACCAGAAGTGCTGGAACAGAATATAATCGGCTACACGGAGAAATCTGATATTTATTCAGTTGGTATAACATGCTGCGAACTGGCGAATGGAGTAGAGCCTTTCGCCGATGCTCAACCGACATTTATGTTCACCGAAAAAGTGCGTGGTAATGTGCCAACATTATTGGATCGCTCGACATGTCCGGCAAGTGAAGAGATGATTGGTAAGTGCTGCATAAATATTTTCACTTTTTTTGTTCAAACGTTTCTTACAGAAATAGTTGCTAGCACGGATTCAGACTCAATAAGGCAAGCACAGCAAATCTACTGCCAACGAGTTTTCTCTGATGAGTTTCATCAGATGACGGAAATTTGTATGGAAAAAAGACCGTCCAGCCGTTGGTCAGCACTGCAGCTGCTCAACCATTCCTTCTTTAAACAATGCCGACACACAAGCATATTGGACCAGTTACAACGTTTTGGCTTAGAGACGAAAGACTATTCGCAATTGCGAGGTATGGCTCTTGAATTTTGTTTTCCGATTTGTTAGAAATTGTTTATTTTTTTGTTTCTAGACGAGAGTCTGGGTCTGTCCAGCGATTTGAGCGAAATGAATGTAAACAGTAATGATTGGGACTGGGACTTTTAAATTAACTGGTTTCAGTTTATTCGAGACATCTTGTCGTGAGTGTTTATAAGCGCATGTACGTACATATGTGCACAATTATTAGGAGTTATACAATATACATAAATTGCATTTTTTAGTTTCATAATAAATTTAATTTTATGTACTTACGCAACACCTCTAAGAGAGAATACCATAGACTATCAAATAAAACGTTTTTAAATTTGGTAAAAAGACGATGCAGAAATAAAAGTATTGATTTCAATAAAGCGAAGAAGAGTTTGTTGCCTCGCAAGTAGAAACTAACACCTTTCCTGCCTTGAGTGCATTACGCTTGCAATGGAAATAAAACTTATTTTGCTGCTTTCCTATCATCATACTTTATTATGTGGAAGATTGAATTTCTTAAACTCATGAAGCCAATTTGTTATAAACTTCGTTTTAAATTAAATTAGTATACATGTATGTACATATGTTATTCAAAATATAATAAAACACATACAAATCTATAAGAGTACTTAGAGTAAAAATGTCCACATGTGTATACTGTCCCCCAACTGGTCTTATATCGAAAGGTTCTCTTCCGGTACATATATTTTATCTGAATTGATTATTCCGCATCAACTTTCTTATGATATACAAAAATATTGTAGTTATTCATGTGATTACTAAGTTTATATGTAAATGTATGTATGTATGTAGTTTGGTGTGTATATTATTGATTATATGCTAAATGGTATTGCTATACGATTGATTTTCAAATTGTTGCATTCGTCATTTACTCCAATGCTAAAATGATTTTATTACTATTTTTATGTAAAAAAATATGTATGCTGGTATGTATGTAGACATAATATTAAAAGGATGTATTGTATTAAGGTCAGATATAGATATATGTACATATATTAAATCGCTGCATTTATGTATGTACGAAATTTGCGCTAAATAAATGTGTATTGAGCGCTTGAAATAAATTTTATGTGGGTTAGTAAGAATATATTTACAAACAAAAAACGTTTTACGAAATATGCCTACTCTCATTTACGTAATTTTCATTTGACCATTTTTTTCTTGAACTCAAACACAATTTTTAACAAATTTCTTTTGCCCAAAAAAAAATCTAAATTTCTTTTAAGTATACTTATACTCGCATAACAGCGAAACAGTAATTTTTTAAACTTCAATTAAATCGCATTTTTTTTTAATTCAATAATTTTCACCACATAGTATGACTTCCGTAAATTGAGTTGAAAAATAAAAAAGGTTTTATAAGCAGTAGGTTTTAAAGAATTGCGCGAAATTTTCGTAGAATCTTAACGGTATATCATATTTTTTTGCATATATCCACTGGAATTGATGCGCATTCTTCAATCGCTGCTTACACGCCCGTGTGTGTGTCAAGTTAAGTCCCGCCACTGCGGTTTGTCCCTCCGATTGATCTTCATTAGTTTTAGTAACGTACATGTGAGCCGGCACTGTGCAGCGCTTTGAGTACAACAAAGCCCAGCACTGTAGCCGCAGCGACACCCAATCCAGCTTTCCACCAAAGTGTTGGATCCTCAGTCATTAAGCCAAACTGTCGCAGATGACTGGTTTGTGGTAGGTGGAATGTTGACCCAAGCGCCAAGAAAAATATGGAAAAATTATTAGCTTAACTGAATCGCAATGGAAAGTTGATATTCAACATGCAGATAAGATTTCAAATACTACAATTAAAGCGAAGAAGCGTAAAAACTTAAGTATGCTTAGGTGTATGTATTACGGATAAAATTGTTAAATAAAATAAAGGAGAACAGGAAATGTCACAACGGACACCAAGAAAATCGTGAGGTGTGAAGGAGAAAGTTGTTATAATAAATGCATTCAGTTTTCGACCCGATTACTAGCGGAAAACATACAAAGTTTAAAAGTTTCCTAAACGAAACCCCCAGGCGACAGTACTATAAAAATTGAATTGTGCCAAAAACTGAATGCAATTGTTTATAAACTCTTCCTTTGTATGACTGGGTGCGCATTTGGATGGATGAATGAAGTGCACAAATACCAAATAATTTCCGTAAAGAAACAATAAAACGTAAAATAGTTTTAGGTGCCAAGTACGGGTATTCTGTGTGAAAAATATTTGAATGCAACACAACACACTACACATTTTCATACAGTATATGCAAACAACCCTCTAGGAAAGGGAGTCATTCCTCCATGCATGCTGTACAGATTCTAAAAAAAAAAGCATGGAAACATTCCCTTTCGTTAAACAGTTAATTTCGTTTTTATCAAACGATGTCATTAGAGGAAAACTTTCCTCTTAACTGTCTATGGAATGCAAAAACAAACTTTCCTTGTTAAGTGGCGAAGTGTTTACACCTCTCGACTCAAAACTTCTGCTTTGTTTCCATATGCAACGAGGAGGAATGTTTCTACATTACTTCCAATTGGAAGCGTTCCACATTTTCTTTGGGGGATGAGTTAAAAATATATGTATGTATGTGTATGTATATAAGTAAATAGTATGTAAATTAGGGCTGGGACTATACGTATATTCGCATATCTGTTCGGAGATTTCTATACATGGATAAAATTCGGAAATCTGCTTAATATCCGTTCCTTTTGTTATCCGGTTATTCTGATTTTTTAATCAGATATTCGAAATCCGGATTATTTGCATATAGAACTCCCAGCCCTAATGTATGTACATATGTAAGTATATACAAAAAATCCAAAAACCAAATTTTACCATAACCAAATTCTTTTAAATAAAGTTTAATTAAAGTCCAAAAAAATATTTTCATCTAGCAAATGTGTTATAAAATAATATCGGAAACTCAATTTTTTATCAGTACTAAATTTTTTAAACTAAAAAATGATTTGATATTAAAAAAAAATAAATATTTTCTACTAGCAAATGAGTTATAAAAAGGTATCTACGTTATGTTGCTGATTTAATTTTTTTTGCAGTACGCTATGTATGTATGTTATAACTATGGTGTATTGCTTTTTTACAAAATATTTGCTCGAAAAAAAGAGAAAAAAACAACGTATGGATAGTACGATATTAGTTGCTCGTTCGGCTGTTTTAAATGGCATTAAGAAGTTTCACACTTACGCTGATTCCCACAGCTGTACCAACCTGTGCTTGTAAAAGAGTATCCATGCGGCCTGAAAACGCCTGCAAATCATTGCGCGCAAAAAATTGTTGGATTTAGTTAATTTAGATTGTTTTTGGTTATTATTATTATTATTATTTTTGTTTTTTTGTGCAACAATCATCAGCCAAAACGCAGCCAACCAAAGTCAGGTGAGTAGAGAAGTAGTTCAAACACGCGCGATAACGTATTTTTTTATTTGGTGTAAAATTTGTTAGTTGATGCAGCAGTTAGAAGATAAAGGGAAAATAGCATAATTAGGTTCGTTTTGTTTTTAATTTCTTAGTTTTCTTTGCGATTTTATAAGTATTAAAATATTTGTTAAGACATATAGTATGTATTTAAATACGTGAATATCGATTTAAGTTTTGTAAAAGAAGCTATACTAAATAGATATGTATAAAAGAGTGAACCTCAATTAACAAAATAAATGCTGGTCTTATAGCCGATTCAGTCCCATTTAAAAGGGTGTGTATTTTCAAGGCTCTTATGACGTTATATGGCATCTAGATGCCACTTAAAAGAAAATGAACCCTCCATACTAACAGAAATATGAATAATGGTTCGCTAACACTCAATTATGAGGTGTGTTAAAAACTACTAGCTACTAGCTGCAGCTAAGCAAAACAAAGGGATCATACAAAAGAAAATTTTTTAGATAGAGACATTCAGTGATGATCTAAGGCGTGTATGAGGTGAAGGGTGTCACCATATTTGAGCAAGTACAAAGGTACAACTACGCTAACTGCACCACACAAATGTAAGTATACTGCATATCTATGGTCATAAGCAATAACCGCCTACGTCGTCAAAAGAAATAATTCAGTTATATATGCTATCGTATTCTACAACTACTATTCTCTATAAAGATAATATTATAATCAAAACGTTTTTTTTTCGAATTCAAGTTTTTCGACTTAGCCGGTTATTGCTTATGACCACGGATATAGGCATAACCAACCTAACACATTTGCTATATCACAAATATGTACCAAATGTATCGATAAGAAATTCGCCTTTACCCAATTCGTTTGCATGTGTGTAAAATGTTGGGCATATTTACTATATGTGTTATGGTAAATGTATTAATATCTATTTCTTATCTATTTTCTATTCGCTACTCACGGAAAAGCCGCCATGGTTGCCAATTTGGTGTAGACCTCCTTTTTATTGCTCTTCAAGCTGAACAGGTGTGGTGGCAATAGTTTGTATTTAGTACAAAACTCTGCTGGTTGTAGCAAATAATCTTGTCGCCGTTCATCTAAATCACCTTTGGTGCCTACAATCATCACTGGTATTTTACTCTCTGCATAATATTTGATGTAAATGCGTGCAATGTATTCGAATGAACGCGGATTTGATGAATCGTAAACAAGACAGGCAACATCACAGTTCACCTCTTGTGGTTGCAGTGGGTCTAAGGCGTGCTTGACATCGATATCACGCAAAATAAGATGCTTCTCTTGACCATAAACCTGCAAAGAAATTTCATTGTATTGTAGGTTTGCCCAGAGTACAATATTATAAGAATACAGTTTACCTGCACTGTGTTAACGCAATGCACTACATTAGTTTTGAATTCCTTCCCAATCAGACTCTTCATGTCATCCACCAGAAATCCACGGCACAAGCCAGTTTTACCCGCGCCTTTCGGTCCAATTACATGACACATGTAAACCGAACGACTACTCTGTCGTTTTGCCAAGTCAATGCGTCGTTCGCGGGTCACATGTATCGCCGCCAATTGACTATCGTTCTCGTGTACATTGAAACCCAAATATGCTAAGTACTCCAATGTTTTTGAAACATCGATAAGCGCCATTAGCGTCCAGCGACATAGCCAGCCGTGTAGCGTAACCCAACCTTGATCGTTGGTCGGGCACGACTTACGTATATCTGTCGAATAAGACCAGGGCGCCGATGGACAAGTGCTAAAAATCATTTTGTGCTCCTCCGGGGATAGTGCGCCATCGCCATCTTTGTCGTATCGTTCGAACAGGGCTATGAGGAACTGTTGGCCGCGATGTGATAGTTCTGTGCTGCTGCCGGGTGGTATCTTCAACGTGGGACGCAAATAATCCTTACACATTTCCAATTGTTCGTTGTAGCCGAAACGGCGCAACACTGCCCAAGTTGTTTCATTGCGTCCACGCTGTATAAACAAGCAATGCAGGAAGAGAAAACCCTTTAATGTAACAGCATCATGGATGATACCGTCTGGAATATTCTTCTGTATAACAGCTTTCACTTCGTCCAGTATTTGTGGTTGTAGGGGAGTGTTGAAACAGCGACGTTGAAAAAGATTCAATTCGTAGTCGTTCAGCAAATTATCACCATCGATGTCGCAAATCTTGAATATGCGAACAAGTGATTTTTTGCATGCTGGAGTGAGCTGCAATAGAACAAATTTGGATTTATTATCATTATTAGTACATGCCTTCTAGTCCTTAATCCGAAGTTGTACTTACATCTTGCTCCTCCATTATGTACAGCGGCGATGTCGGATGTAAAACAGCCTTTTGTGCATAGTAGAACATTTCGGAAATGTTGTGTAGCGTTTTGGCGGAGCATTCTACACAGCTCTCTACTTCTGGAAAGTCTTCCATTATTGTCAATACACTCTAAAAATTTAATTTAAACATTGTATTGCTTTCATTTTTTATTGCATGATAAAGAAACTCACATCAATGGTTGAGTATTCTATCAGATCGACTTTGTTGCCTACCAACACAATGGGCTTACGCTGCTGGTCTGGCCCAATTGCATTACGAACCAAAGGCAGCCAATGCGAAGTTATACGATCTAGCGAATCGTCATCTTCCACGCTATATACAATGCATACAACATGCGCCTTGAGAATCTCTTCGTTCAGTGTTTCATCAGTTTGTTCTGTGCCTGGTAAATGAAAATACGTATGTACAAAACACAAAAAAAAATTATTTTATAAATAATAGTTTATACGTAAATATGTTTTATAACTCACTTGAGTAGTCGACAATGTTTGTTGGCACCTGTTCGGGTGTTACATTAGCGGGTATTGTTATCTCTTCAGCTTTTGGGGGAACATCCTCGGGAAATTCTTCGCTCACAAGCGAGAGTATGAGTGAGGTTTTACCCACTCCCGGATCGCCAACTAACAATATGCGCACATTTTTTCGCTGAGCAACACTGTATTGAACCATATTTGGAGTTTTGATACCTTAAATTCAATGGCAGGAAAAGGATCTGGTTTTGAAAGCAATTTTTGATTTTACTAGGGTTGTAGATATAGTGTTTACGATTACTCAATTTTCGATAAATATAGCGAATACGAATCCCAAAATATAAACAGCGCCTTGTAGACCGCTCATCTATGCTGAACTAGAGCAAAGCTCACTGGAAATAAAACAAAAAGCGCAAGATGATTGCATGTTAAACCTAAAAAAAAGTCACCTAAAACGTAGAAATTTTGCAAAACTACCTAAATACATACATAGCTACATATCGCACACCTAGAACTGAAGTGATAAAGGTGTGCGATATGTACGTAATTAACTTCAAACCATGTAAAGATTTTCGTCTTTTTATCAAAAACTTTCCTTATACCACAAGCTGAACACAGATACCTGATTTTGGTTAATTATAGCAATTCGCACAGTTTATTGCTCAATGGTACATTGCTGCTTTTGTGTTCTTGTTTTATTACACTCTAGTAGGTTTTTAGTTCACTGACCGCTTTTAACTATCAAAGCAATGTAATCCGGTTTGCATTTACATGGATAATAGTGATTAACAATCACAATTTTTTCAAATATATTTTACAATGAGCATTTACTGCACCGGGCAAAATCAATAAATGAAGAAAAATGATATGTAATTTGCTGCAATATATCTCTCGTTTAATACGATATGGTAATCTGCACGTATTAAAATTCGACTCCAAAACTGCTATCCAGGCACTGTAGGGGGCCAGTGGCTTTGAGGAAAAAAGATAAGCGTAGACGCCAGACGTCAATTTGATTTGTCACAGAATTAAATAAAATTTCTTCGCAGGAGGCTTTTTGCACCGCTTGGCTGTTTACTTTTCCCTATGCATTGGCCCCTGTACATGTACATATGTATCTACAAACATAACGCCACAAAATCGCAACCACCATCAACAAGGCACATTTCCCCCAAGTCCCAATTTCAATACCGACTAGCATTTTCGCAAGTCGGTGTTAATCAAATTGGTCACATGTTTCCATCTTTAACAAGTCCTTCGATGATAGTACTTCGAATATATTTATTTGAAAATATGCACAAAATATTCCACGGCATAACCAAATATATTTGTCGCGAAAAAAATAATTACATAAACCCGACAAATAAAAAATATTGCAAACAAACCTCTCCTACACAAGATGAAAATCCGTCGTCTGCCAGACAGCGAAAGGGTATGTTCAGTGAAGACAAGGCGCAGCTATTTGTCAGATACCATTGTGAATATGTGCTCTTAGTGATGTATATTTTGTGTGTTTATAGTGTTTTATTAATAAAGTACTTTTTAACCGATTTCAAAAAAAGGAAGAAATCAATTCATATGAATTTATTTTTTATATGTTACTGCATAACTTTGGACCACGTTAACGGATTTCTAAAATTTTTTTTAAAAGGAAATGTGGTACCTCAGATGTTGGACCATACTAATTTGGTTCACATCCGATCATTGAATCGTGAAGAAATTAACGGTACTCTTTAATTTTTATATGAGAATTAAAGACGGTTTCGTCTTTTGCTTAAAAATTACTTGTATAGTTTTTACAATTTAAAGAAATTGTTAAACTTGTACTTTGATCTTCAATATGTAACACCAGTAATTATTTTTTCGCCCTAAAAAAATTATACCATTATGGTCAGGACTAATACCCCTGTCGATCCTAATATAAATTTGTTTTACGTATTCTGTACTTACAGCAAAACTTTGCATATGTATGTAGATTACCAATCGATGCGGACTGATAACAAACAGCTTCCTAATAGCATTTCGAAATTCCTTCTGAGTTTAAAAATGTTGTTAAATAAATAAAAATGCAAATCGTGTTACAACCAAGATTTTATATTTTTTTTCAATGTACATACATATGTTTTATATGATGCAAGTGCAAATTTTATAAATATACACATTTATGTGTTCCTACAATTACTTCAGCAGCTATTTTTACTTTTAACTTTATTTCCACTCGATTCAAAACCTATATATGCATACAGAGATTATTAAAAAAAAGATTTTACGACACCACCGCCTTAACCGCTCACATGAAAAACCTGTTGTCTGTAAATGGGAGCGGCACTGCATTTCATATACGAAATTGCATTTGAAAATTCCGGCCAGAGTATTGAACTTTAATTGCTGCATAAAAAAAAGATGAAAGGCGACTAAAATTAGATTTCATTCCTTGAGGCTATGGAGGAGCACCAACAAAATCACGGTACACATCAATGTATTTAATTTTTGTCTACCAATTTGTCACAATCGGTGAAGTAGTCAACGCTAAGCTTTACTAAAACTGCTCCGGAAGCCAAACCGGCAATGGTAGCCAAAGCTGCGTTTTCTCTTGGTAGCACCGACCTCATCAAAGCCCATGCAAGTACTGAACCCATGCTGAAGAGTGAGCCTCCTAGAATCGCGTACAGACCACGTCGCGAATTGGGTATTTTACTTAGATGTGGACGTCCATATATATAGAAGGCGGTGCCGGCCAATGAACTTAGTAAAAGCACATTAGTCAAATCCTTTTTGGGTAAAATCTTGGATACGAAACCGGGATTCATTACGTTAACAGCAAGTGCAGAATACGACACCACACCATGCAGTGGGATGTAGTAGTGGAAAACGTTTTCCTTGGTGAAGGGTTTAAGCCCAATCTTGTCACACAGTGTGCAATCTGCATTTTTGTTACTAGCTCCTTCGCTGGCCATTGTTTTGTGCAGCTGATATTATTGTTGCGTGGAAATTTATTTAAACTTGACCGACTGTGCGACGTCTCGTTACGAGTGTATTAAAATGCTATATTTATGGTTGAAAACACGATAATTTTGCAAGTTCGTCTACCGCCGGTGAATTTACACAAATGTCATTTGCCTGTTATATAAAAGAGAGGAGATCCACAGACAGAAGTCATTTTTATTTTTATTCTCACCGATGATGTGCAAAAGTAGAGTAACCGGACTCGAGTAGAGTAACCGGGTTATTTATTCGATATCGATTAATAAAGTAATTACAATCCTATTAATAAGGACCAATCGTCGCCTGGGTAAAAGATAGTCGTATGTTACGCACGTACGTATGACGCTTACGACAATATTTTACCCAGGCGACGCAATGCCAAAAATATGAACAAAAAACTGTTGGACAATGTAAAAGTGAATGTAGCTTTATTTTAAATACATACCTTACAAATTGAGTTAACTTTTTTTTTAGCTATGACTTCAATTTAATTATTGAGATATATCAAAGTATACGGTTTGGAATACAGTTGTGATTTTTGCAAACATTTTGTATAATCGACTAGCAGTTATACGCAAGATGTGTTTAAAACCAAAACTTCGTTGCTACAGTGCTAATATACACATATTTTTGATTATCTTAAAATCAATTAGGAGTATATGGTTTTATTAAGTTTTCAGCAAAATTTTTTATATTTTCAACACCACGAACTTCCTTCTCGAGCAGTGGTAATTTCGTGACGTGGAAATCTTCATAAAGGTCAGCAATTTGATCCAGGTATTTTGCTTGTATCTAAAATATTAGCGTTACAGAAAAACCAATTCACATTAAAGGCTTATTGAAAATTGCATACCTTGTACCGTGACGCGCACATGGCGCATGGCTCCTGGTTTTGTTTCTTAAATAGCAGTTGATTGACTATGATATTGTGAGTATCTATGCCGCATTTGGTCAACTCCTGCACAAGACGTTCGGTTTCGTACAGTGATAGGAATTCAGCGATACAAACACAAACGAAAGTTGCCTGGTCCTATAACGAAAATTTCGATTTATGTAGGTAATTAATTCTAAAATTTTGCTCATTGTATGTTACACAAATTTTATATGCTTACTGGATTTCTAAACTGCTCGTTCACTTGTCTTATGATTTTTAGCATTTCATCCAGCTTTTGCGTTAGCGAGTCGGCATTAAAGTCTGTCATGCCTAGTATACTACCGAATTGTGAAATGAAAGGCGCTATCTTCATTTTCAACCTCAGTAGTTTTCCTAAACCCTTCTCAACGACCTGCGGAAAGGAAAGCAGGCGTAATGTGTGCCCTGTCGGCGCTGTGTCAAATATGACTACCGAAAAGTTCATTGCCTTTACTAGTCTGAAAAAAGTATTGGATTAGCAGATGATGGCTCTAACGAATTTGATATTTTTCCACAATTATGCTTTTACTTACTTCATTACTTCTGCATAACTCATTGCTTCATCTATGCCTGGCAGCGCATTGACCACTTCATGTAGTACACCTTTGCTCAAATGTAGTCCTTCATTTTCGGTCTCAAAATATTCATCCGGCAACTCGTTAAGCCCAGCATTGGGATCAATTTCCATTGCGTACAAATTTGTGAAGCCATTGACCTGCAAATCTCAATACATATTACTCTGAGCTTTTTAAACATTAGTTTTGGCTAATTTTTAATTACCTTTGTTGGCACTTTTGTAAATTTTTGATCAAATGCATCCGATATGTTGTGCGCTGGATCTGTAGAAATAATAAGCACTGACTCACGAACTTTGGACATTTGCACCGCAAGGCTGCAGCTGTTTATAGGTAGTGAGTAGAATTCCAATGGTAATTTAGGTGGAAATTGAAGTAAAAATAATAATTAAAGAAAATTGTAGTATTTTAACTCTGAATTATGCTACTTGCGTTTAATTACCTGCATGTCGTCTTACCCACACCTCCTTTTCCACCTACAAAGATCCATTTTAGTGATGTCTGCTCGACGATATTGCGCAGGCTGGGCTCCATTGGCTCGTAATCATCACCCATTGTGAAAATTCTTGGTCGCAAAAATTTGTTTAAATGCAATAAAATAGACGCACAACTATTTTTCAATGCTAATTTCACGCAAAAAACCACTATGAGTTGACGAGTTTTTGTCGTAGGGATGTCGAAAAAAATCGATGCATCGAAAATATCGATGTTTTGCTTCGATGCATCGAAAATTTTCCACTCGATGTATAAATAGTCGATGTATCGATGAACTGACATCTCTAGTACATTGAAGTATTGTTCCTGTTTTCCAAATGTACAAAAAAGAGGAAGACCAAAAAATTGAAATAGCTCCAAAAAGTACCGTTAGAAATAAAATTAGCTCAGTTACAGTAATTTATTAGAAATTTTGTACAATTTCGCTAATAACATATTTTGTTGTGAAACAAAAGTACGGCAACAAAAAAGCATTTTTCCTGTAAAAACGTCAACCAGTGATCGCTTGACACTTTTCACGATTTTACCAGAAGAAAAAGTTCGGGTAAATCATACAACTTCATTCTCTACACGCCTCTCCAAAAATCGCTCTCATTTACATGATTTTGGAGGATTGTGGAGTACGGGATCATTTTTCCTGTAACTTCCTGCAAGTTCGGTTAAAACCTTGTAAGTTCATGGAGTACTGGATCAGAGCTATTTGAAAAATCCTATATAAATCAACATATCGATGTATGCCCTTCGATGCATCGAAATTTACATAGAATTTTTTTCGATGCATCGAATCAAAGAAAAACATCGATGTATTCTTGCCACTGACATCCCTATTTTTTGGGCAAATGTCAGTTGTCAAAGGTGTCGTTCACAATCAACCAATGGCCAATATATACAGTGTTGCCCTTAAAAGTTTTCAGAAAGTCGCAAAAAAGGGTAATTACGAAAGAAAGGTTCTCCAAATTATTTTTGCTCTTCTCTACTAGTAAAATAATAACTCTTTTGAATTTAAAAAGAAAAATAGCGGGACAAGCATTGCACAAAACAGGGTTGCAAGCATACCTTAAATCTAGCTGTTGCAAGGAGAAGAGTTGCATTTCCTTTGAAAGTTTTAAGTGATGCATTTTTGGTACATAAAGCCCTGTATGCAGCTCTCAAGAAAACGGTCAAGAAAAAATTGCCATTATTTCGCGTGTGTGTCCAAGGCATTTTGACATTTTTGATACCTCACAGCCTTTCTTTCCTCAAGAAATAATGGAACGGGCATATATTACATATGAATTACAACAAACACATCAGTTGACGTAATGTTCTCCATGGCGAAAAATTCAGATAAAGATAGATTCAACAAATATTCATTCGAAACTCAAACTTTTTCTCAGAAGTATTGGATTTTTTTGAGTATTTTTGCATGTTTCAAGTGTCTAGGAATAAACGTTGATTTTTTTTAGATTCTTTTTTTTCTTACACAAGGTGTTGCGCTTTCTTCTATATAAAAATAAATTGTCTTCAGTCATTATATGGAAGCAAAATACATACATAAATGCACATGTCTTTATAAAACAAAAACTCATGCTAACACGGTTTAGTTTTAATGAATCGTACAAAAAAATTCGTCGTTCAATAAAAAAAAAAATAAATATATGGTGGCAAAATCATTTATCTACGGACACTATTTCGATCTTTCTTTTCAATACACCGCAATAAGCGCATCAAACATTTACAAGTTAATGAGACAATAATTAAATAGTCTACTAAGCGGTCAGATAAGTAAATAAATAACGTGACAAACAGTTTATGAATGAATGAAAAACCCACTCATTACAACGTACACACGCACACAAACTGCTATTCATTTCCTCACGCACGCATACAAAAT